CGCGTCTCTGAATATTCTGATGGGGAGTCAGGAGACCCGTTTGACATTTTTTAGCACTTTAATAATTAGTTTAAAGTACATCATAATTTCAATAAACCCCCTTTGGAGCTCCTTCTGTGCTCTTGAAAGTAGACCACTCAGGTGGTCAAATTCAAATGACCACCTGTGTTGTAGAATATTTCTATGTTTATCGGGAGAAGAGAGTTTTGTTCACAAATTAATAATAAAGTCTTCAGAAGATTCAAAGTTGTCCTTTTCTCGGTTTATTTGCTTGCAAGGGAAGAGTGCACAACACAGTAGGTATTCGGCAGCATGTTGTAAAGACTTCGACTAACTGCAGGATTCACCACCGTTTTATACACTGAGAGGTCCTCTTTTGCAGATAAATCATACACAGGAGATGAGGGGCCCTCTGACACAGGTTAAAGGCTTCTGTTCATTATTTAGTTCCTGTCAGGTGTGTTCGCTGGGAACCAGTCACAGTTATCACGATTTACAACAAGTCCCTCTTTACTGCATAGTTTTGAACACACGTAAGTTTCAGGTTCACAACTCGGTCACACAGAGGCCTTCAACATATTTTTCCCACTACACCTGACAGCAGTAATCGCTTCTGGGAATGTGAACATGGGGAGCTCAAAAAAGGGTCACAGGCCAAACAACACTATAATGATCCTGCTCAAAACTGCCAAGAGTACGTGTATGCGGATTAGAATTTCAGTTTGTATCATTAAAAAGTATTTTGAATGACCGTTACTTGTGTCATCTACATAGACATTGGCACTGTGAAACCTAAGTGGGCCGAAGTGTGTTTTTCTAGGACTTTATGAAGGACACATGTCTTCTGACCACATCTAGGTTATTTGAATTATGGCAACTTGGTAATATTTTATAATCATCGTAGTTATTTATAGCTGTGACAACTGCAATCTTGCTACTTACCCTACTTTGAAAGATCATTTTATGGTTGACGTCATTCAAACTATGCATGCGCATGTTGGCAACTAAAGCGGCGTTTGGCCCAGCCTTTGAGATGAGTTAGCAAGCTCTTTAAAAAAACATCAAATTGTTACCAGCATCAAAGTGTCTGGTTGTTACATGTTCGGTTGTCACAATCGATATTCTAGCATCAGACTCAAGTTCTGCAGAATTCAGACAGGATCTTGCACATTTCAGTTTAACAGGTGACTATGTTAAGTGGTGACTTTCTGCCCAATGCATCTGTGGTTGCACGTAGTAATGTATGTTAAGGGTTGGCAGGGATAATAAACCCAGATGAGTATGTATTTAACATGGATTGAAGGCTTTTACGAGGACACCTACGTTTCATGGGGTATGACGCTCTGTCCACTGATAACGTAGCTTGAAGCATCTAGGGACTTGTAGTTCGTAATGTCTCACTGCTGTAATGCTAAATACTTGTAGATATGTGGCCACTTGCTAATGTATTCTACCTACTCGCTAACATCTAGTTTGTTTAGGTTACATTCGTCATCTTTGGTGGTCAATGCCACTGAGCACTGAGGGTAGCAGGCCTTTCTGTGAAGCGTGCTTGTATTAGAGACAGGCCTTTATTTACAATTCACTCTGTTTGATATGTTTATTTAGTCTTATTTTAGTATTCAATTCAATTTATTTTGTATAGCCCAAAATCCCAATTTACAAATTCTCCTCAGAGGGCTTTACAATCTGTACACATGTGACATCCTCTGTCCCGGGACCCTCACATCGGAACAGGAAAAACTCCCCCAAAAACCCTTTAATGGGGAGAAAATAGGGAGAAACCTGAGGGAGAACAACAGAGGAGGGATCCTTCTATCAGGATGGACAGAAGTGTGATAGATGTCATGTGTACAGAATGAACAACATAACAGAGTTATAACACATTTAATGCATATGACAGAAGCACGGCAGGAGGCAAGACCAGGTCCAGGTATAACCAGGATCCACGGAAACCTGCAAGGTGGGAAAGCACAAAGACTCAGAAGAAGAAGCAAAGTTACTCATGAACATTAATGGGACATTAATTTAATTCATACAGAAGGAGAGAGAGAATTGGAGAGAGGAGCTCAGTGTATCCTAGGAAGTCCCCCGACACTCTAGGCCAGACCTGGCATTGTACGGCCCGCGGGCCACATCCGGCCCGCGAGCTGTTGCCGTCCGGCCCGCGGGAGGTCATTGGGAAATTAGGAATAAAACGTAAATAAGTGTACATCACAGAATAGAGCTGCATTGCTTTTATTTTGAAGGCGACTTTTTTTCTTTTTTTTTTCTTCTCAATTTACGTATGTTAATGAACGTATGTGAGCAGCAGCGTCACTGCAATGTGTTGGCGAACTGAGTTTACGGGAGATGTGAGTTAGCGGTTAGCCCTCAAAAATGTCAGCCTGTGTTAAAAAAAGAAAGACTGACACATAGTGTAGAATTTTTAACAAATGGACTTTAAAGTGTTTTTTTTACTGAAGTCGAAGGTAAAGCCGTGTGCTTAGTTTGTGGAGAACAAGTCGCAGTGTTGAAGGATTACAATTTGAATCGTCATTATGAGAGGAAACACGCGGAGAAATACGAAAACTTGACGGATGTAGAGCGGGTACGGACGTCTGAGGCTTTGCTAGCTAAGCTGCAAAAGCAACAAGGCCTTTTTACCAAGCTTCACACATCCAGGGATGCTGCCGCCAAGACCAGCTTTGTGATATCCCACAAAATTGCAAAAAACAGTAAGCCATTCTCTGATGGGGAGTTTATCAAAGAGTGTTTGGTGGACTCTGTTGCACTGCTATGCCCCCAGAAAAAAAGACGCATTCGAGAATGTGCAGCTCTCCAGGTGCACCGTAACGAGGCACCTGGAGCTGCAAAAAAAAGCAGACAATTTCGAACTTTTCTCCTTGACTCTGGACGAGAGCTGCGATGTCCGTGACACAGCCCAGTTACTCATCTTTATACGTGGGATAACGAAAGACTTCGGGATTACAGAGGAGCTGGCAGCAATGCAGTCAATGAAAGGGACGACGGCGGGGAGTGATTTGTTCACGGAGGTAAATGCATGCTTCCACAAGCTGGGACTGAAATGGGACAAACTGGCATGTGTCACAACCGATGGTTGTCCAAATCTGACGGGGAAAAATGTCGGACTTTTAAAGCGGATGCAAGATAAAGTGACTGAAATCAACCCAGAACTGAACTTGGTATTTTTGCATTGTATTATACATCAGAATGTGTTGTGTAAGTCAGTGCTCAAACTTAACCATGTTATTGATGTTGTAACTAAAATAGTTAACGTCATCAGGGCAAGAGCATTGAATCACAGACAGTTTGTTGCACTCTTGGAGCAGCATGAGACTGAACACTGCTGTCAGGTGGCTCAGCCTGGGCAAAGTGCTTAAAAGAGTTCGGGACCTGAGAGCAGAGATTCCAGAGTTTTGAGAGAAGAAAGTAAAGGACATCCCAGAGCTCTCTGATGTAAAATGGATGACAGATTTTGCATTTGCTGTTGATGTGACTGCACTAATGAATGATCTGAATACCAAACTGCAAGGCAAGGGCCTCTTTGCACATGACATGTACAGCCTGGTGAAGGCTTTCATGACAAAGTTGCAGTTTCTTTCAAGCAAGATGCAGATAACACTCTCACCCACCTGCACACCCTGAAAGAAGCCACACCAGCAGTTGAACATCTCCACAGGTATCATCCATGTTAGGGGCACTGCATGGTGAGTTTTCAAGGCCATTTCAAGACTTCAAAACAGTTGAGAGTGAAATGCACATGATTTCTTCTCCCTTCACGTGCAGTGTGGATGATGCTCCCAGTGATGTTCAGCTCCAACTCATTGACCTGCAGTCTGATGCAGTACTGCAGAGCACTTTAAGTCAGTATCACTGCTGGATTTGTATTCTTCTCTCAAAGAGGAGAACTTTCCACACATGAGGAGACATGCTCAGAAGATGTTGGTTCTCTTTGGATCGACCTACATCTGTGAACAAACATTCTCCGTGATGAAGTTGAACAAATCCAGATACAGATCCTCTCTCACTGACATCACCTGTAAGCTGTCCTTCACATCTCTACCTCACACATTCAACCTGACTTCAGTGCACTCGTTCAAGCCCAACAAAGACTAGATTTCTCGCACTGAACTGAAAAACAGAAATAGGTCATTTGTATAGTAATAGTTATCATAATAAAAGTACTAATTCTGCAAAAACATGATCCCCTCAGTGTTTTACTATTATATATGGATATTACAAATTTAAACAGTATGTTGTTTGGATTAATCCTGCTGCAGATGTTTACGGTGGAGCTCATTTTAACTCCTTTATACTCTGTTGTTCAGTTTGGGTAGTTTGGAAGGGTTTGAAAAATTATAATGTGCAAAGTAACTAGTAACTAAAGCTGCCAGACAAATGTAGTGGAGTAAAAAGTACAATATTTCCCTCTGAGATGTAGTGGAGTAGAAGTACAAAGTTGAATAAAATAGAAATACTCAAGAAAAGTACCTTGAATTTGAATAACATTTACTCTTACTACTCACAGCTCATCAAAACCATACAACATACTGCTTTTTATAAAGAGGTGGAATAATATAGAGCAGGTTTGAGTTCAGTCTATTGGTCCGGCCCTCCACAACAATCCCTGTTTCTCATGTGGCCCCTTGGGGAAAATAATTGCCCACCCCTGGTCTAGGCCTATAGCAGCTTATCTAGGGGCTGGTCCAAGTCAAACCTGAGCCAGCCCTAACTATAAACTGTAATGGGAAAATATGTCATAGTCTCATGTGAAGGTTTAAAGAATGTAAGTCCTAAAAGTGCAGACACCAAACTGTAGTTTCAGTAGATGACTTTAATTAGTTTCGTATCCAGGTGTCTTGTTATCTGTTATCTTGTACACTGTTTCTTTCTTCTTCGTAAGACAGACACAGAGAGGCCTTGACTAACAGAGATCCTCTGTTTGAAATACTTTTAACTTCATTTATGACGCATTATCTGAAGTTGTAAAGGCGTAAACCTTTGCATGCATATATGATGTGTGAGGGTAAAGAATGTCTATTCTGTCTCTGCAATAGTCATTTTAACAATGTCCCAGTGGCTTCAAAGGAAGCATCTGTTGTGTGTTTAAACGGTTTATTGTAAGGCAAACTGTGAACAAAGGGATTTGCAAACAGGAGATAAAGCGCCTTCCTGACTGTCTTAAATGAAGTATACTAAGGCTCGAAGGATGACCTGCCTTTAACTGTGTTCTTTGTGTATTCTTGTTAGCTAAGCAGATAACAGGAAGCTGTCTGAGCATAAATGTCCATGCATTGTGACTGTTTAGGCAGACCACTCTTACAGATCACTGCAATGTGTCTGTGAGACTGTTCTCTTTGCTTGCAAGCAAATAAATTGACTTTACAAACTTTGATCGTTCATCAAGACTCTGTTTACTTTATATTGATTGAAAACCTTCACTTTCTTCTCCCGACTAGTCATAAGAAATATTCCACAACAAAACCTGAGCCAGCCCTAACTACAAGCGTTATCAAAGAGAAAAGTATTAAGTCTTAAGTCTACTCTTAAATGTGGTGAGTGTGTCTGGACTGAAACAGGAAGCTGAAACAGGAAGCTGCCCCCGGACTGAAACAGGAAGCTGGTTCCACAGAAGCAGCAACAATAACTGGTCAGGACGTTCAGGTGACAGGTAGTACGGGCAGTTATGGGGATTCTCACATATCTTATATTATGGGGACATCTGCAGCATATTAGAGGAAAAGTGTAACATTTACAGGGATCTATTGGCAGAAATGGAATATAATGTTAATCACCTGAATATAAGAATAGTTATTTTAGAATGAGCCATTTATAACTACATAGGGAGCAGGTCCTCTGTACAGAGCAGACCGCCACGTTTCTACAGTAACCCAGATCAGTAGAGAGAATGCAAGTTTTAAGACTCTCTCACATCGGCTTCACTCGTCAGAACCGGAGGTTGCCGCCGGCCCAGAACACACAAACTAACTTTGTTCGGCTTCCTGACAACATCGGTGGGACACCGTTGTTTTGGTCTCCAGGGCCGGAAACAACAAAACACGTGAAACCTCTGTTGGTCTTGAGGAGAATGTATTCTGCAAATATGTTTGACATTATTTGAAATGAATGGCGTGAGCAGTCACTGTCTGGAAGGTTGCTGTTGAACATTGCGTTGCCTCTGTGTCCCTCTGCAGTTGCCAATGACCACGCCCCAGTCCAAGCTCTGACACCCGGCTTCCTGTCCATGTTTGCTCTGGCCACAGATCAGGGCAGCAAGCTGGGCCTCTCCAAGAACAAGAGCATCATCTGCTACTACGACACCTACCAGGTAATGTCTCAGGAGGACGATCGTGATTCATCTATAGAGCTCACACAAAGTGCTTCACAGTTCAGGATCAAATGATAAATGGTCAGTAACTCAGGGAAATAACTGTAAATACACAGAATGAAGAAATGTAGCACTCATAAATAGTTAAAAACTAAGTTTATAAATGTGCCCTTGATTTACATTTTACAGAACATTGCAAAAATAACATGAAATGTGTTTTATAGACAACCCTTCATGTTACACACATCTATCAATCGATCAAACGTATTTGTTTAGCACCTTTCATAAAGGTTAGTGCAGTAAAACAAAATAATAGAAAAGACTAAAACAATTTCAGCAGTTTGAGACCCATGCATGCCAGACAATAATAACCATGAAAATACAATAAGATAGAATTAAAAGCTATAATAAGAGAAGTAGTAGTAAAACAGCATGAAATAAAAAGTAGATGAAAAATAACAATAAAACAGAACAGCTTAAATACAATGAAGTGTGATTAATAAAATTACAATAATATAGATATTTCAAAGGTTTTTGTCTTTGAACATATCGATTAAAAAGAGGTGGCCCTAAAATCGGACCTTGGTGAACCCCAAAGGTTATTTTGGATATTTTGAAAAGTTATCAATTGCAACAAGGAACTCTCTGCCAGAAAATTGAGAGGATTACCAGTTAAAAATAATGAATAATGAGTAATGACATCTTCATCTGTTTACAACATGGTTGAACTTTCCTGTTTGCTTTTTGTTCTGTTGACTTATTGCTTTTCGACATTTTCTGAAGATATTGGGTGCTTCTCATCAGAGTTTATATGTCAAATCAAATGTCAAGAACTCTGAATAAATGTCACTTTTAGCACCTGTGTGGTTTCCTTTGCCCATTGTTCATAACACAGTCTTCCATTCACTTCATGATGATCCAACCATCCTTTGTTAGAGGGGTCGCCTGAAGACCTCTGCCATGTAAAGCCTTTCATGTCAGCAGCCAAAAGTATTTCATAGAAAGTTCAAACCTACATTTTTATGCATTCATCTGCTAGATTTGATTCAAATGTGTCCAAATTCTTCACACTATGTACCTTAAATATGTACAAATAAAGTATGGGTAAAAAGATATTTATATGACCAGAGATGCTCTTCCTGCTTTACTGTTCGCCCATAACAAATGGGACAGTTTGTTTTATTTATTTGACAGGTGCCCCGGCCGACAGTCATACTAAACTTGCCTAATAACATTGCACACATTTAATGTTTGACTAATTCAGTTAACTCCTGCTGCCACGTGCAGCTGTAAAAGGGATAGTCAGGCTCTTTTAAAATGGGGTTGTATTGGGAACTTATCCACCTTACTTATACGAAATAGTTCATAGGGTCAATGTCAGTAAATGGATATATGATGGCCTTTCCACAGGAGCAGCCTTTCATATTCATGCATATTTTGTGAAAGGAAGAAACGAGGTTAAGTCTCTTGCCCAATACCCAGCGACGCCTGGAGAATGCCTTCTTCTTCTTTTGATTGTTTTACGGCGGTTGGCATCCGTCTTATTGGTGCATTACCGCCACCTTCTGCTCCGGAGTGTGGATCAGAAAATAGACTTACAATCTTTACCCCCAAAACAAATCAAAACAAACAAACAAAATAATACAAATAAATTTTATTTAAAAAAACATTAAAAAAAACAAAAACAAATAAGCAGTCTAACCAGTACCCTTGTACCTTATACCTGCATTTCAATCATACCCTGTAAAAAAAACGTGTTCCTTAAGAATGCTAACAGTACCCTGACCTGTGCTCAGTCCTCCTTTCAGTGTGCATCCATGGACTCCTGATTCCCTCAGATCATTCCTCATCATCTCTCTCTGCATCAACTGATTCTTCTTCTCCACATCCTTCACACAACCCTGTCTGGTGTTTCCTATCATTTTCAGTGTTTTGTTTAGTGCATTATGGCCCAACCGTAACCTTGTCAACACCGTTTCCTCTCTCCTATTCCTACTTCCTACCCTGGTAACTTTGACACTCTTTTGAATATGATATAAATGTCTCCCTTTCTCCTCTCTGTCCCACCTTTTTTGTCACATTTGGTTGATGTTTTCCCAGATAATACACTTGACCTCTTCCTTACCGATACTAATCTTCATTTCTATGTTTCCTTTCTTTAAAGCCCCCTTTACCAACTCATCCGCCCTCTCATTCCCACTCACCCCTGTGCTGGAACCCAGATGGGTTTAACCTGACCTCCCTGTTTAGTTATCCTTGTGGCTGGCTGAAGTACTTCATACAGTTTGTCTTGACGGCTGTTTGAATGAAAAGACCTTAAGCTTGCTAGGACTGAAGATGAGTCGGAGCATATCAACACCTT